CGTGCACCCAAACGAATACTAAGATACCGCACGTGTATCCATGTGGATCATGCATCCATATTTATCGTATCTACATATACATGTAGATATCATTTATATTCGGCTACGATATATATGCCATGTGCCAAGAGAATAAGTTTAAAACAGTGACAAATACTAAGGAAGATGTGGCCTCTATTTCTGTGTGACTCTTAGCATAGCAGTAAAAGGTAAGTGCTCAGTCAGAGGGAAGCACTGTAAAGGCCTAAAGAATCTGGAAGAGGGAGCTCATGTGTCCTATTGACTGAGTAGGTCAGTAGATGGAACGACTCATGAGAAGGAAGGTAAGAAGTGGGCTCAAACTGCAGCGATTGCCAGGGCAGGGTTTTGATGGGCGTCAAGAACAAGAGAGGAAAAAAAAGTAAGGGGGAGTAAGGAGAAAAACAAGGAAGAAGGCAACCTGCATGTGTTTTGGGAGTTGGCAAGTGATGAGACAGCTTTGCTTTGTAGAGGGCGGAGACTGTAAATTGCTGTACACATGCTTCCAGAGTCCTTTCCTTCTAGAGAGGCCCAACCTCCCTGAGTTGGCAGCTCTTCGTGTGCTAAAAGTTTAATTTTCTAATGCAGGAGGTCAAGCTGATTGAATGGGTAATAGTTATTAACTAAATGGATTTTTTCTTTTAATTTTTTTAAACTTTTATTCATTTTTGAGAGACAGAGGTGAGGGGGAGGGGCAGAGAGAGGGAGGGAGACACAGAATCTGAAGCAGGCTCCAGGTTCTGAGCTGTCAGCACAGAGCTTGTCGCGGGGCTCGAACCCACGAACCGTGAGATTATGACCTGAGCTGAAGTCAGACGCTTAACCGACTGAGCCACCCAGGCGCCCCTGGATTGACTTTCCTTTATAGACACCAATATTGTGATAATTTATCAAAATAAGATTATAAAATCTACAAAATGCAATTGTTATCTTTTTCATTTTAAAAGTCATATTGGTTATAAGTGATCAGCCTTGATCTCCAAATAAGACTGAACAGTATCTTTGATTTCCTTTCCTTGGAGGTGGCTACACATTCCTCATTGTCTTTGGTGGGATGTCAATTTCATGCACACTCACAGGCCCAGGCACACAAACCTCAGAGAATGTCAGAGCAGTAAAGAGGCCCCTGGGCAAGATAGGAGAAAACAAAAGAAGAGCGTGGCTGGAAGCTGTTAACTGTTGGGGTCTGGGTTTTGTAGTCACAGACCTCTTCCTTCTAATCACCTGACTGTGGGCAAGTGACCTCAGTGACCTCAACCATGACCAGAGATAATAATAAACTTCACCTCCCAGTGCTGCTGTTAGGATTAAGAAAGGGCATGCATGCAAGTCACACAGCACAGGTTGTGGTTCTCGGCAATTTTCAAAACTGGTTACTGTTGCTGTTAGGTGAGGAGCTGCCCCAGGCTCAAGCAGTTAGACACTGCCAGAGAGCTGAGACCCTGACTCGGGCCTTCTGACCTCCAAACTAAGGTTCTTTCGATAATTTGTCATATAAAGATATTTAAAAAGTGCATTAGAACTGGCTAAGGGAATAAGAGAATGTGAAGATTGGGCACTTAGGAGCTGTGCTGGACAAGTCAATTGAAGCTATTGTTCACTTGAATTTGAATAACATTTTTTCTTTTTGGCATTGCGTGATTTGACAATGGGAAAGCATATTGGTGTTTTTTAGGCCCCCCCCCCCCCCATCCAGCCATCTGTAAAACTCTCATGTAGTTTGGTTGAAATTCAAGACATAAGGTTTTTTGTTTGTTTGTTTGTTTTCTGGTATCTTGGTCAGAATGGAGAGAGGGCACATCTCCAAAGGCCAAGTCTGGTAACAAAATACAGACAAAAGCCCAGCTAGAGGAAGGTAGAGGAGAGAAGGGGTTGGATCAAGGCTTTTTACAGCGTAGAAGCCAGTTCATCTGCAGAATCCACTATTTCCTATTTGGGTCATGTCCTTACACTGTGGTCAAACTGACACGTTTCATTCTGGTCCATGTCAGAGTCAGAAATAGGCATCTCAGACATGTGATTTGTATGAATCTCAAATCTGAGGATTTGCATTTATCATGTACACAAGAGAATTCTCAGCCATTTTCTCCTCGAATATTTTATTGCTCCAATTACTCTATTCCTTCTGTCTAGGATTCATCATAGATACACACTTTCTTCCAAATTTCAAAGCCTTTGTATCACATTTTCCATTTCTTTATCTGTTATTATTATATTCTTAAAAATTATCCCTGCTTTACCTTCCAGTTCATTAATTCTCTCTTTAGCAGTATCTAATCTGCAGTTTGATTAATTTAGATTTTAATTTCAATGATTAAAATGTGTATTTCTAGAATTTCCATTTGGTTCCTTATCAACTATTTCCTTTTCTCCCCCATATGATTTTTTTTTTTTTGGTATGTGTCAGTTATTTTCTTTTCTTCAATCATTGAAACATATTTATTTTATATTGTCTATACAATTTTTGCTACCTGATGTTCTCAGGGTTCTAATTCTAATGTTTCTTATTGACTCCCTCTCATATTGAATTGTTTCTTTATTTTCGTAATTCTGAGTTGTGAGCTTCCCTTCAGCAGATATTTATCTGTGGCCTGGTTAGGTGGTGAGAATTTTAAATCTGGAGGGATTTTGAATACACTGCTGCGTGGTGTCCCAGAAGTAAGTACAAGTCTGTCTGCTTTTTATGTTAATTTCTTAGCTGTGTCAAACTTTAAGGATAGGAAGTTCAATACCTCTACCAGTCATTACTTTCAAAAACTCTAGTTTTCAATTCCTTCTACATTTCAGCACCTTTTCTCTCCCCTTATATGCCCCTTCCCTTCCCCTTCTCCCCTTCCTTCTTTACTTCTCTTCCCTTTATAGAGGGTGTTTTTTTCAGGTAATATACTCTTCTTTGTTGTTTGAAGCAATTGCCTTATATGTATGCCTGATACCATTTTAGGTGGGTATTTTTTAGTCTTCCTAGTACACAAGCATGCTTCTGGATTTTCTCTAACTGATCTTTTACTACTCTCATACAATACCTTGTGCTCCAACGATCCCACTGACTAGATTTTTCCTTGAATATGTCCTCTGTCATCCTGCCTTAGAGGCTTTATTCAGGGTGCTCCCCGTTTAACTTGCTCTTACCTACTTATCCTCACCTGTTAAAATTCTACCCTCCCTCAAATTCCCCTCCAAGTACTTCCTTCTTCATGAAACCAACACCTATTCTATGAAGCAGCTGTAAATTCTCCTCTGTAGGGATGCCTGCCTGCCTCAGTCACTAGAGCATGTGACTCTCGAACTCAGGGGGTCGTGAGTTCAAGCCTCAGCTTGGGTGTAGAGATTACTTTAAAAATAAAACAACAGGGGCACCTGAGTGGCTTAGTTGGTTAAGCGTCCGACTTTTGCTTAGGTCGTGATCTCGCGGTTCGTGGGTTCGAGACCCGCGTCGGGCTCTGTGCTGACTGCCAGCTCAGAGCCTGGAGCCTGTTTCAGTCTGTGACTCCCTCTCTCTCTGACCCTCCCCTGCTCACGCTGTCTCTCTCTCTCCTAGAAATAAGTTTAAAAAAATAAATAAATAAAAATAAAACAAAACAACAGGGGTGCCTGGGTGGCTCAGTTGATTAAGCATCCAACTTCAGCTCAGGTCATGATCTCATGGTTCATGGGTCCGAGCCCCGCATCAGGCTCTGTGCTGACAGCTCAGAGCCTGGAGCCTGCTTTGGATTCTGTGTCTCCCTCTGTCTCTGCCCCTCCCCCACTTGTGCTCTGCCTCTCTCTGTCTCTCAAAAATAAATACATGTAAAAAAAATTTTTTTTAATTCTCCTCTGTAAATCCCTTTGACTGGCCCATGTCCTCATCTTTATTGTGGCGCTTACAGGGCTCATAGTAGCTTATTTGTGCCATTTGCTTGATAGCAGAAAGTAGAGTGTGTACTTTTTAAAAATTTTTAAAATGTTTATTTATTCTTGAGGAAAAGAGAGACAGAGTGTGAGTGTGGGAGGGTCAGAGAGAGAGGGAGACACAGAATCCAAAGCAGGCTCCAGGCTCTGAGCTGTCAGCACAGAGTCAGACGCGGGCCTCGAACTCACGAGCTGCAAGATCATGACCAGAGCTCAACCAACTGGACACTCAACTGACTGAGCCACCCAGGTACCCCCACAGAAACTAGAGTATTATACCTCTAGATTCCCTGTAGTATCCTGAATACTGTTTGGTATTAGATGTTCAAGGAAAATAAATGTTCACTTTTTTAAAAGTTGGATCTATCTGAGTAAAAGGTATAATACAGCAGAGACTTTACTTACAGGAAGTGGGATGCTCTTTTGAGGTATCTATTTATGTATTTGCTATGCTTGAAATTTCCTCATGCTACAATGAAAGATAAAAGTTTAAAACTGAAAACGTTCCTGGAAGGGAGATCTCCATTAATTTAATACAACACCCTGTGATGACCACTGGGTGTTGTATTAAAGTATTGAATCACCAGTTTGAACACCTGAAACTAATATTACACTGTATATTAACTAACTGGAATTTTAAAAAAATTTAATGTTTAGTTTTTGAGAGAGAGAGAGAGAGAAAAGAAAGAGAGAGAGATAGAGGCAGGGGTGAGCAGGGAGGGACAGAGAGAGAAGGAGACACAGAATCAGAAGCAGGCTCCAGGCTCTGAGCTGTCAGCACAGAGCCCCATGCAGGGCTCCAACCCATGAACTGTGAGATCATGACCTGAGCTGAAGTTGAATGATTAACTGCTTAACCTACTGAGCCACCCAGCCGCCCCTTAGTTAAAAGTTTTGAAAAAAAGGAAACAAATAAAAACAATTCAACTGTAAAGCGGTACATAATTCATTTTAACAATCTGAAATTTACTCTACTGTGTTTCAACCTCTATGATTCTAACTTATTAGTCCAGTTCTTCCTAACAAGGAACTTACTCAAGAATAAAAGGGGGAAAATTGCACCCCCCCTCCCCCCACCACACACTCACCAGATTCCCTGGAGCCAGAAGAGAGCAGAGGCTATAAGTCCATGCTCAGGATGTGCCAGGTGCATTTGCTGCCTATGTGGGTATCTCTGCTGGTGGTTTTCCGAGCACACACTTCATTGTGAAGGAAATCTGAAGGAAATGGGATCATTACTACCCGGGAGAAGTCATTTGCCAGAAGTAGTAGAGTGACTGAAGTGAGACCACCTGGGATTAAGGTCCAGCTCCACCATCTACCAGCTGTAGCACGTAGGAAAAAATGATTTGGCCTCCTGCATCTCAGTTTTCTCATCTTTAAAATGGAGACAACAAAAGGAAATGTTTTGAAAAAACTGTTACAAGGACTGACTGACTTAAAATCTGCAAAATGCTTGCCAGATCCTGGCACATAATAAGTGCTTGATTAAAGGGTAGCAAAACCTTGACAGGTGCCTGACACCCCAGCAGAATGAGAAGGTTCAACTGACAGCTGAGTGCAGGGAGTTAGGGATCGACGGAGAATTCCTGTGGTGAAAAAAAGGGGCTTCTTGGCCCATCCAAGTACTCCGAGGGTTTCAGTCCTCCCAGGACTGAAGCACCATCTCGCTTCGCCCTCCCTGGGAACCTCACGGAGTTGCTCTTGTAGGAAACAACGCAGCAGTAGGCAGTAGCACCGGGTATGCGCATGCGCCCGAGGTAGTACCGGTATGCGCTCTCGGCCTCTGCTCTACTGTCGTTTGGGTCTGTACCGTTCTTCATCGAACGTGGCTGTCCATTGCATTGGAGGATGTTTCGCAGCAACCCTAGCCTCTACCCACTAGATGCCAGTAGCACACCCTCAGCTGAAACAACCAAAAATGTCTCCAGACGTTGCCAAATGTCCCCTGGGAGGCAAAATTGCCTCTGATTGAGAACCACTGATGTGACCTCACGCTAGATACGAAGGTTGCATTTTCTAGCTCTTTCTTGTGTGTAAGCCGGTTTTACTAGACTAGAAGAATCTGCAGGCAGGGACCACCCTTGTATCCCACCCACTCACCAGCACAGTGCTGGATACTCAGACTCCACTTACTTAACTGCTTAACTCAAAAAAGGCAATCGAGGTAGTTGGTTAACATTTTAATTTCTGATTTGTACTAAGATTGATTTAAATAGAGGTGACACCGAGACTAATTATTTCTGCTAACTCTTGAAATGTCAATTACTTCAAAACACGTCCTTCCCGTATAATACGTAACACAACTCAAGCTGGGGCTTTGTCTCCTCTCTGATCACAATTCCGTACATAATTCACACAATAGCTGGGATATATAAAGTTTGGTTTTAATTGCCGTCTATTCATTTCCTTCTTTACAATGAACTGGAAATATCTCAGATGCACTGAAGACGTCTTTCTTGAAATCCCTTTGTCACTGGTGTCACGATGTCTGAATTTTAAATCACTAGAGATGTTCAGCCAAAGGGGTGGGGGTGGGGTTCTGTTCTGCCTCACACATGGCCTGGCAGGCAGGAATGCTCAAGGAGACTGTTTGTTCCCTCGATATGCTTATTATCCTGACATCTATCCCATTCTGATAAATACAAATCCTGCACTTCTAGTTTTGCTGTTATTTCATATTGTATAATCCTTTTTGTCTTGCAAATGGAAGCACACATGTGAATATAAAAACCAGTATGTACCTGTGGGAATAAATATGTACTGCTCGGTTCATCCCTTACTGAGAACTGCAGCGTACTGTACCAGAGACAGAAAGCTGGGCTTGAGAAACACACCTGTTGTGACTTGCCACTGAAGTACAAGAAACCGTTAGATGAGGGAGCGTCAAGGAGTATGTATGCATGCCCACAGAGGCATGTCGTAGGGAGACACCTCTGAAGAGCCCCCAAGAGGGGGCCTTTATATCACGAACATGCCACGGGATTGGGTGTGGCCCTTGACTTTGGGTTTGCAATCATTCTGATGAGGGGAAGTTCCAAGGACAGACTCACATGAGCACAGTTCCTGAGATCATGTCGAATCAGAATGCCAATAACTGGTTTGCATTAAGAAGCGTAGGTCATGTTCACAGGGCTACGTCTTATCTCCTGGAGGCATTGCCATGACAGGGCAGTTAGTCAACAGAAGAAAGTTTAATGGGCTTGCAGTAAGCACAGAGGAATGTAGCTGTATGGTCTAAAGACAAAGTGCTCAAGCTGAGTTATCCGAGACATCCATTTTCCCATAGAACACACACAAGCCACCAAAGCGGTCAAGTAGAGTTTTCCTCAGAGGATCCTCCCTTCTGGCTTAAGCTCCAGAGGGCACTGGTGATATTTGACTCAAGGACACACTCTCAGTGCTGCCATGGCCACCAAAATGCCTTCTGACTGACCCATTTTTTTAAGAAAGATAAATTATTCTTTAGATAGTTTCTTTTCTGCTGGCATCCCTGCAGGAAGTCGAGATGACATGGGCAAGGGAGACCTTGAGTGAGGTCATGCCAAGAAGCAAGGAAATGATTTCAAAAAAAACAAGTCCACCCAGAGCCGAAGAAAGCGCATTAAGACGTCTTCTATTTTTTAAATGACTTTGGATATCTTTGGTTTGATTCTTCATGTGTATATTTATAGTTTAACTCCCAGAAGATAATCTTATTTTTTTCTCTTTTAAATCCTTATTTGAGGGTGAAGGAGGAAAGAGACCACATATTTCGTTCCTGTGGAAATTCATGAGTTTTGGGGGGAACTGAAGTTTATAAAATGCCTGTTCCAAGGAAGGCAGCGGTGCAGTGTGGGGAAGAGTGTGGATCTGAATTGAACTTTCTGGTTGTGAATCCTGGCTGTCTCGCTTCCTGTCTGGGCAAATGACCTTTTTGTGCATCTGCTTCTTCATCTTGAAAGTGGGTCCAGTAAGGGCAGTGGAGGAGCAAATGAATTAATACAAATAAAGGGCCTTGATCTGGACCTGGTGTACAGAAAGCCTTTCAAAATGGTAGCCAGAATTTTTAATCAGATTGAGTGAAATATCTGAGAAGCTTTGGTAATTTCTTTATCAAAACAGAAAATCTATCATTAAAACTTTTTTCAGGTATATCACATAATGATTTGATATTTCTATGTATTGTGAAATGACCACCCCAATAAGTCCAGTTGACATCCAGCATTGACATTTTTAAAAATGTTTTAGTGCAAGCTCATATTTCTTAGTCTCTAAACATGGAGGAAGGTATATAAAGTTAAAGGCTCTAGGCATCCTTGGAGAATCCCCCATCGGCACCTCTTTACTCATCGGTGCTGGAGAATGTGTGCTTCTCAGAGGTGAGAGCATTTGTCCAAGGCCATGGAACCAGAAGCTAGGTGTACAAGAAAGAAGAATGGAAGTCACATTTCCTGTTTCTGAGCTCCCACCAAAGGACTCATTGCATTGATGGATATATTTGCTGGAGCTCACAGAGGAGTTCTACCAGAAAAGGTAAGATTTTAACAATTTGAAAATGTTTTTTTTTTAATGTTTATTTCTGAGAGAGAGAGAGAGACAGCATGAGCAGGGGAGGGTCAGATAGAGACGGAGATATAGAATCTGAAGCAGGCTCCAGGCTCTGAGCTGTCAGCACACAGCCTGACGCAGGGCTCAAACCCATTAACGGTGAGATCATGACCTGATCCGAAGTCGGACACTTAACCGACTGAGCCACGCAGATGCCCCTAGATTTTAACAATTCGACTTATAACCAAATCCGTAGATGGACAGGCAGATAGACAAATAGATAAAACTAACTTAAGGTTAACTTGTTGCAACTGTGCCCAAAAATGTGGAAATTGACCATGAAATTCGCCAGTAGGAAGAGCCACAGGGAGAGGAGAGAGGGAAAGGGAAAAGGATTTCTATGATGCTGGCTAGAAATAGGACATTACTTCTTTGAGGTTAAGAACGTCTGCTCATGTCAATGCATGGCTGGAGAAAATAACAATATAAATAACTCGTTATCTGCAAACATTGCATTGGAAATTATTTGGTGCCAAGATCTTAGGATTATTTGGAATATATATATTTTTTAATTTAAAGTCTCACAAACTCTTGTAAGAAAAAAAACAAATCTGAAAAGCCTCTCTTACCAGGAAGAACAGCAGCATCTGCTTAAGAACACATAGCAACCCTACATTCAGATTAGGACAGGAAGTTTAAAAAAATATAACACATCCAATTGAAACTGCAGGAGGACACAGTAGACAGAATGTAATTAGTTGGGTTGACTGTCAGCCAAAACCTCAGGCAACCACCCCCTTGCTCTTATGAAAACTGCCTGGAGATTTTTAATGATGATGAGCAGTTAGGATCTTGGTTTTAAATCTTCTCTGAAATGCAGGGCGCCATCATTCCCTCCAGCGACGCTGGGATATTGGTTCTGGGTTGGCACCGAAGAGCTCTCAGAAAGGTGAACCCTAACTCCTGGAGCAGCTATGACTTCTGTCACAAAGTGTTTGGTCTCGTCAGTGCTTTAACCCCAACTAGTCTGGCTGAATTTGTGACAAGTCTTCATATGCAAGACACTGCTGGATGGAATTTGAACTTGGGATTTGGTAATGAGTGTCCCCATTTTAGTGTGTTTTTTTTTTTTCTCGGAATGGTGTGATGAGAGGGACTGTGGCTTGGCAGTCACTATGGTTACAGTTCCATGGCTAGATCTGAAGAAGCTCAATGGCACAAAGTGCATGGGTAGGTGCCACCAAATCCTCTGGCTGTTCTCTCCTCGGCTCCCTGAACAAGTCACTGGAGGGGAATGGAAAGAATATAGACACAGAAGCCAGAGTTGGTTTTCAATCTTAACCTGTGTCTCCCTAGACACTTGATCTTGGGCAAACTCCTTAACCAATCCAAAGCTCCCACCAGAAAAGGCAGAAAGAGGATTTTCGAATCTTTGATTTCTCAACTCCCTTCAAGTTATATAATATGCTACTTTCTGGCGTGTTTTTGTTTTTGTCTTTTTAATACACATACAAAATATGCCATCGATGGTGCTCTGCCCTGTGCCTAAGATTGGGTCTCCAGAAGACCAGGCCTCCTTCCATGCAGATGGTGTGTTTAGTCTGTCCTATGGCTCATGACTGCAGCTGCTTCCTGTGGAGCCTGTTATAAGATCTATAAAAGGCCGAGATATTATGGTTTCAGAAGC